AGAACAAGCCTCAGTTAAAATCAAGAGGAAGCTAAACTCCCCCACACTGATGAGCTGGAACTGATCTCACGGGCCCGGGGCATGTGGGGTCAGACGGTGTGAGTGTTGTTTGACGTCTTGGCCCTGTTCTTTGAGTTATTTGGTTTTACGTTCGGCCCAACTTCCAGCCACTTTTCAAACAGAAAATTATGGATGCCGGCAGCATCTCTGTTTGTCTAACCTCAGTCCCAGCTTCCTCTAATAAGACGGGACGTGGCTCGCCCGGGTTTATCGGAGCCGTGACGCCTGGGAACGGTGATGGCATGTTGAAGAGACACAGGGTTTACCTTCCAAACGCCCTCCTCTGACTCGAGGAATTTTCCAGATTTGTTCAGAATATGCATTTTATTAGGGTCAGCTTTTTAATCCGTATGCAGTATTGGTACGTATTTAGGAAGTACAGGTGATATATTGTTACATGCGTAGAACGATGGATGATCAATGCTGGGCATTTAGGAAAGATGTGTTTCCTCACTGGTGTGTTTGGTTTCGTCCCATCCTACTTCTGCTTGTCCCTGTTTCATGGGACAATGATGAAAACCCCCAAGTTTCATTCAAAGATACAGCTTCTCCATCATCCCCCAGCCAGGAGTTGGTTTGGGACGATGGCTGTGGTGGGGCAGGGGACGTGTGGCTCCCACCCCACATCCTCCCGAGTGCCCTGCTCCCTGCACTGCCCTGTTGCCTCCTGCCTGGAGACTTCCACCAACACTGACAAAGACCCCTTTTAACATCCTGCAAGCTGTAATAAGGAAGAATGGCTTGAGATAGGCATTAGAACACCCATTGACAGTAAGCGCTGTTTCACCTCCTGCAGCAGAAAGAATAAGGAACAAAAGGATGAGAGGCGCGTTTTCTACTTGGTGAGTCCTTCTTTTCCAGAAGGCCTCTTCAGCTCCAGTTCCCAGCTCCGGGCTTCCCCGGCTCTTGTCTCAGCTCCTGGTGCACTGCCCCTTCCCCTTGGGGCTCACAGTGGCCTCTGCCCTGCTCCGGTCCCCCAGCCTCCTGAGGGCGTTCACCATGCTGTGCACCCTCACTTGTGTCCCCAGGCAAAACCTCACTATCCTGCAACCTGACCGGCTTTCAGTATTCTTCCAAAAGGGAAAAAAACTGCAAAGGCGTCTACTTAGTGCCAGCAAGGGACAGTGCTAAGAAATGCGTGTGAGTTGACTCCCAGGGGACTAACAGGTTAGCCCCAGCAGTGGGGATTTCAGGCACCAGGCAAAAAAATGTGTGAATGAACAGCTGAGGCCAGTGTAGCAGCTCAGCTTGGGCTGCAGTGCCTGGTCCTCACGTGCCAGGGCCCTTCACCCCCTCAGATCCCTCTGCCTCACGTGGCCTTTAGCCTCAGCGTGGCCACTGGCCTGACGTGCACACACGTTGGCCCAGAGGACAGTCCCCTCTCCAGCTGCTGCGTCCACCAATACCAGCTTTGCAAAGCACTCTCTCTCTGGGGGGCTGTTATCCCCGGCCCTCCTTTCTTGCCCTGTTCTCTGTGACCCGGGGACACCTATTTGCTTTGATTCACCACGCTTCGGAATGCCAAGACCATTGACTTTCCTGAAGTACTGCTCAGTGGAGTCTGTGTGTTTTCTTACCAGTTTTACTATAAACATTTTCAGTGAGATGGGAAGGAAATGTTCGAAACAAACAAACAAAACTCCACCAGCTTTAAGTGTGCTGCTCCCGGAGGCAGTGGAAGCAGCCACTTTAGAGAGTCTAAAAGCCAGCGTGTCTTCTCTACGGCTCTCTCCTGCGGGGTTCATTGGCACCCCATCCCTCGGCCAGGAGGCTGTCCCTTGATGCCCAGGACGTCCCACCATCCACCAACCTGATAAAAGGCTGTTCTCTCAAAGCGGCACTCAGTTCCATAGGCTTTCCTCTTGCTCCCTATTCTCTTTCAGTCACCCCCAAATTCACCATTTCCTAGTCCCTTGGTCCAGTGTCTTGGTCCCTTGGTGCTGGTCCTGGCCCCATGGGCACTGGGATCTATCCCTTCCCCTTTTCCTGCCCTGGGAGATGGCCATTCCCACAGCTCCATGTCCCCTGGCTGGAAGATGCTGGTGGAGGTGAAAGGGCGGTGGGAAGAGAGAGACCAGGGTTCCTGCTCCACATCTTCCCCCTTTGGCCTTCAGTAGTGGCTCAGAAGTGGTCAACTCTCCAGGGTTCCAGCCTCAGCGGGGAGACCCTGCCCAGGGCTCTCATAACTCAGCTCCCGCCTCAGCCCCAGGCCAGGGATTGTACTGGCCTGCCTGGTTCCCTTGGGCCTCTTAGCTCCTCTGTCCCCTACACTGGGCTCCTAGTGCACCACGGCAGCAGCTCCAGAAACTTTAGCACTGTTCAATTCAACCCATTTTCCTGGATTGCAATTCTTCCATTTTCAAAGACAGAGTTTTTCCCTTCCCTATTAGGTCCATCAGACATTTCTCCTTTCTGGACTTCCAAACTGCCATAATCTGATAAAAATCCTCAGAGGTCGAATGGACAAAGTTGGGCCCTGAAGTGCAACCAGTGGACTTTGGTTTTTATCTCAGCTCTGACATTTCTAACTGTGCAGCCTTGCTCAATTTACTAAACCTCTCTGAGCCCCAATTCTTCATGTCTAAAGTGTGGATGGTGAAACCTCCTTCTTTCATGCACACAGGTGGCCCTTGGTGACCTCCTAGCATGTCACTGGGCCACACCTGGGTGCTTGGTGAGCATTCACCCTCTCCCCTCCCCGTAAGCGGTCGTATCTGCTAAGGTATATGTGCTTATCTCCTCCTGGGAAAACATACTTGGCTTATAACAGTGGAAATAGATATCTTACACTCAAAATTAATTTTAAGTATGTAAACCTCCAACACCCACAGCAAGACAAGTGGGAAGATATTTTTGGACAAACCAACCTTTAAAAGAGCTTTCAAATCACTCTGAAGAGGTGGTCACCTACTCCCAGGGGGACTGGCCTGGCCAGGGCTCCATTAGCTGAGAGGAGGCTCTTGGGCTGATATGAAAAGTGACCCTCTCCCCGCCCCCCTCCCCAGGGAAGGAGGTGGAATGTGTGGGACTTAAATGTGTGGGAGTCTAGCCCAGGGTTATTTTTGTTCCCATTAACATTCTCTTCTGTACGTATTTTAGCCTTAATCAAACGCATGTGTTTTTGTTGTATTTGCACTTAGTTCATCAAAGTGTCCCTTATGATTTGAACTATGCCACGAAGCCTTAAGCTCTACGGTGAAACACTCATTAATGCCCCTGGGAAAGAGGAAGTTGCATTTAGTCAAATATAAATAAATTCCGCTCCCAGAGGCTTCGCCCTGGCCTGGGTCAGAGAAGAGGCCGTGCTTCTCCGTCCATCTGATTCCTTGCCCCCTCTCCAACTGAGCTGGAGGGACGAGGCCCCACAGATGGGTGTTCTGAAAACGGACCTACCCTTTCTTCAAAGCCGTTACACGGCCAAGTGTGGTTTTATGAAGGGAAGAGATGCTATTGATCTGGCTCAACCATCGGGTATCATTCCAGATTTATTTCCCACCCCGCCCCCACCCCAATACTCTGAAACCAGAGGGTGCAGGCAGGAAGCAAGAAAAGGGGGGACGGCAGTGTAACCTAAGCCCCACCGGCGAAGCTCTGGGGGTCTGGGGTTAGAAGGTTTCCATCCCTCCCTGTCTCTCCCTTTCTCTCTCACCCTCTCGCCGTCTCTCCGAGTGCACATATGGAACTGATTACGAACAAAGCGCGATTGTTGTATATTTGGAATTTCCCACATCAACTTGATGCTTGCTTTAACTGCCTCTCAGTGTGCGTCTGCGGTGAAGGGCTGTGCCCACGTTTCCAGCCCGCCCGCCCCCTCCCAGGCTCTGCCAGCACCCCGACCCCCCGTCCCCCAGCTTGTTCCTGATTCATTGTCTCCTGCCGTAAAAGTTATTTCTTCCCTTTGCCCCTCCAGCCCAACTTCAGTCTGAATTGACCGGACCTTCTTGTCCACTATTTTCAATAAACTAAGCCCTGGATTTTAGAGAGTGCATAAAAGCTGGTTCCCAAAGCATATGGGTAATGTCATGCTAAGTAACACCAAAAGCATGGGATGACTACCAAGAAAACGGCCATGCCTTCTTTCATAAAACCCAGAACGGAGAGGAGCCGGGTCTATAGAAATACTTTACAAAGAAGAAAATGACAATACTTCAAATGGTGGATTTTCTTTAAAGTAACTTGATTTTCTTAATAGCAGTTCTCTCTGCTATGGAAATAAGCTGATGTAGGAAGGAGGAGTCTTAGGGGAGATAGATGAACAATTTCTCAGTTATAAAACATTACAGGGACATTAACATTTGAGATCGTTGTTTTGCCATTTGCCTGCTCTAAACCACACAGTGTGATCGGAGAACTTGATGAACATGACCTGCACGTGACTGAATCTGATTTTCTACAGCCCTTTGGGGGCCTCGTAGTATCAAATCTAGCTCCATGTTTACCGGCACACGTAAAAATAGATGTTTTAGAACACAAACATTTAAATGAGGAAATGCCAAGTTCGCGTCTGCTGTATGTGAACTGATTCATCAGGACCGTGCGACATATCTCCTCCTTCCTTGCCTTGTACTGTGTGGACAGCAGTCACATATTACAGCAAATTACACGTGTGCGTTTATTGTCTAAGGGTTAGCGAGCCGGAGGCAGAAACAGATGTGCGCGCCCCGTGCTCAACTTCCTAGATATGATTTATGACTGAAAAGTGAAATCCCCTAAGTCCCCACTGTGGTGTGCCGCTGGCCTTCAGATACCATTCCTGCGTCGGGAAGAGAGCCGACTCCGAATGCAGGATTCCACTTTAATCTCCGCTCCAGATGGTGATATTCCAGCCTTTTTAAGGTGAGCATGTGACCTACTGCACAGCCAAGGGGCTGGGGAGTCACGTGAGCAAGTGACTACGTCTGATAGAGCTTTGATTAGACAACTGACCTGGTTACCGTCCACAGCCACGGGAAGCAGAGTTGACATTTCTGGATCACTCTCCCCAGAAGCGTCACTAGCCCACTCCCGGGACCTCGCGGTCTCACTGAGCCAGCGCACAGGGACAGCTAGAAGGAGACTCAAGATGCTTCGGCGGGAAGCACGCTGAACTTGCAGAACCTGGGCTGTTTTTCTTTCTTCCCCTCCCCCCACCTCCTGAGAAACTACGTCTTGACTCATATGGTCGAAAGAAAAACTCCTTCGGTTATTTGATCTTTTGGAAACCTCCAGGAGACCATAACTTATTTGTGAGGAAGTCTCCCTCTTTCTCACTGCCTCTGCTGAGAACACACAACACACACACACACACACCACTCTACACCATGGTGGTTCAGGCTGCGGTGGCTCCAAATAGATCCCAAAGACTTTTGCTGAAAATACCTTATGGATCTCTGAGAAGGCGCAGCGTGGAGAGGGTAAGCTACGTGGCGGACTGTTTGCGTTTCAGTTACTCCAAAGAGAGGGGCATGCTGGTTCTCATTGTACACTGTGTTACTTCTGCTACTAACATTTTTTCCTAGGATTGTAGGATACTATGTAATTTTTTTTTTCTTCTTAACAGATAATGATGAGAAATCTGAAACAGACATTTTTGTCACTTGTGGATCTGGATTTGGAGGAGGGGAGCTGCTCTTAGGGATAAGATAGGGGGAAAAAATATTGGGTGGAAACTGCCCCTGGAGTGGGTCTAAAAGATTTAGTTGCTTGTGAGGAAACTCATCAGGGCTGTGAGATCTGATTTCTTCCGCATTTGTTGAAACACACTCATTAGTGCCATAGGGCTGTGAATTTCCTCTGCTGGGTGACAGTGTCTGTATAGGACGTGGTGATGACAGAGTGCTTTGGAGCTTTGATGGTTTAAATTATGCAGGCGGTAGATTGAAAGCCCTCTGGTTTCCACCCCCTCCCCAAATGCATTGCTAACATTTTAGGTTTGTTTGTTTTCAATACTGTGGATTCAGGATCAAAATTACTCGTTAATTTCTTGAAACTGTGCTTGCTTTATGGTAGCCCCTAGCAGAGAAGATCCTATAATGTAAGGACTAGGATGTATCCTTCTTTAGAGAATGTCGCTTGGGGGGCTGACTACAGTTAATGCAAAGCTGGCTGTTGTTGGGATATGGGGTCAACATGTGGGGACGGCCCCTACACCTATATGGAGTAGAATAGTTCTTTGGGTCTCAAAATTCCACAAAAATCTTGTTTGAATCCTGGCAAGTCCCTTCTTTAGCTGTTGGCATCTACGTAGGCGTCTTAGGTCAAGGTGTAGGCCAAGACCTAAGGAAGCAAACTGCGTCCCCGGAAGCTCTACGGATAGACAAGCAATTTGCTGCATCTTATCAGGATGGACAGAGTTTAATCCCCGTGACTTTTCCTGACCTGTATAGACACTACTCAGTGACATTTACATTTTTTAAAATGCCTAATTAAAAGCTTTATAAAAAATAAAATAAATATAAATATTAAAAAAGAGGGGCTATATAATATTTCGATGGTTGACTTCCTGAGTTTTGATACTTTCATTTTTTCTGCCATTCAAATGAAGAAAACTTCACTTGTGTGTCAGTATTTTGATACCTATTTTTTCTTCTCGATATCAGGATTCTCGACTAAGCATGCATTAAATACCTACTGTGTACTGCCCTTTATGGGACCACCAGTTCTGGAAAAATTTATGGATTTATCAGGCTTAGATTGAACGTGATTTTAGGTTCTAGAGAAATCTCTTTGGCTCGTATGGTAACTCAATTTTTATAATATCTTCTATTATGAAAATATCCATTCACAAATACGTGGAAATGCCAACTGTGTGCCCTGGGGCTATGTATGGGGTCAATATTAAAGAGATAGTTATCCTGCATAGAAGCACAACAAAACCATAGTTGCCTGGTAACCTTGATTTATACCATTAGGATATTTAGATACATGTTCAATACATCATGTGCATTTGCACAAATCCAGATGTGTAGTTTTCTATTATGCATTGTTTATCAATTTAAGAAAGGCAGACAATATGGGAACAGAGTGGCGTATCTAAAACCTATCTGCTGTTGCATATGTGCACATATTTGAAATCAATACCCACAGGCCTGTTTGCACCCTTGAGTATACTCTACTGTTATGAGGTCCTTGCAGTGGGTGTGAGAGCTTTGGATCCTCTCAGAGCAGCATGCAAGTCCGCAGAGAGTTGGGCTTTCCCTGTGAACCTAACTCTTCACCCTCCACTGCAAAGGATGGTGAAATCAATTGGAATATATGATGTCCCATCAATTTCAAGTGGACATCCTCCGCTGTGGGTGGTTCTGTAAAAATTTTCAGTACTGGAGTTGTACGTTTCCAGAAGAGGAGGAAAGGCCAGGACAGACCCTGAGGATGGCACTGTTGCCTGGGGACTCCCTGAATTAAAAGCAAAAGCAGGCTCTTCAGTTCCATCATGCGTCTCAAGGGTGACAGACACTTGAGTTGGTTTCTACTGTTTCATGATATTTAATGATGTGCGGGCCTGGCGTTTCTACAACACCCTGCTCCAATGCACTTCATATCTGTGTGGGAGTTGTTATCCTTGTCATGTGTGAACAGGGAAACTGAGGCATGGAGAGGTTTGACCTTCTGTCCGGGGGGATACAGTCAGCCACAGGACAGGACCTAACCCTGCTGTGTCATGCACCTGCCACTGGGACAAGTTTTATTTCCTTTGCTCTCTGGGGAGCTGGGGTGTGGCCCTGAGAAAAGGGTCATAACCTTGTCCCCATGAAAAGAAATTTAGAGATCGTACCAAGTCAGGGATGCTAAAAACCAAGGAGAATGACACACGTCTAGGGCATGACAGTTGTGTGCCCTCCGGGGTCCAAGATTCAACAATTGCTTCCGTTTTCCAATTGCCCAGAAGCTGAGTTGACAGAGAATAATTGAAACTTTGTAATTGTGCTACCTAGAATCCCTCAGATGTTGATTACAGAGACTCTCCCACGGCCTGGGAGCCTAGACTTAGTTCTCATTATAATTTTGACAACCGTGAGCCCTTCTCTGCGCTAGGCAGGGTGGGAAAAAAATAAAAGAAATATAAAACGCCATGTTTGGTAGGGTAAGAGAGGTTAGGCATAGCAGGTTTATATAAATGAAACAATTATCAGTCAAGAGAATACAGGCTAGAATTAAGCTGTACGATAAGCAGCAAAGATAACTTAGGTGATCTGGAAAGCAGCACGGTGAGCTGAGTGGGGGTTGGAAGAACTCACAGTCTCACTGTTGATGGTTGTGTGGCCTTGGCAAAGTGCCTTAGACTTTCTCAGCTCTGGTTTATTCATCTGCACTGTCTATACCCTCAGGGACAGTTGTGAAGGAACAGCAGTAACATATGAAATCAGACGAGTAAGTTCCTCAACTCATCCTTGGTCCCTAGATGGCCAAGGGCAGTAATTTGATGAGGATCCGTAGTGATAGTCAGCCATGAGGTAAGGTTGCCTAGTGTTGACTTTCTCCAGGATGAGTTCTTGAACTTAGTTGTGGTATGTCAACAGCTTGGATGGTCATTCCAGAAAAAGAGTTCCAAAATTGCTTTGAAGGGTAGACCAGGTGCTGGCGCCCATGCGTAGATTCCCAAGGAGAGTCCCTCAAAGGTGACCGTAGTAATATTCAGCAATGAGGTGTATAGCACTTTTTCTAGGATGAGATCACAAATGTAATTGTCCTACCTCCTCGCACAAAACCTGGCTGTCCCATAAAGTGCAGTCCATAATGATAGGCATATTTTTAAGTTGGCCTATCTTTGTATAGAAGAACGCTTGGCTTGTATTTTTAATGCAGGCAGTCCCTGAGTTACAAACTCCTGGTGTACAACTCGCACTTAGAGAGGCTGCTACAGGTAAGAGGCAAATGTGCCTGTTCTCACTTACATATAAATTCAACTTAAGAACAAACCTACAGAACCTATCTTGTTCTTCACCAGGGACTGCCTGTCACTGATGGTGATTTATGTACTTGGTGACACTTCTCTGCCACCTGGAGAACTCTTTTAATACAGTTTTTAGTATAGTTTGCCTGATAAAGCCAAGATAAGAAATCTTTTGCGGGAACAACTTCCCTTGGACTCTCAACTTTATATAAGAGGCATGGAAAATAGTGTTTCAGACTGCCTGCTCCTCAGTGCCGAGCAACGGAGCTCACTCAAGCCTGGAGACTGCTAGGTCGCCTCTTCCTTTTAAAGCCAGATGTTTTTATTCCAGAGGTAAAGCAAAAAATGAACTTCATGGAAAAATCTAATAAATGTAAGAACAACACATATAAATGTTTTGAGAAGAGAAAACGTGGAAATTTGTTCTGGGAGTTTGCCTTGGAGGCAGGAGGGACATTTTGATTGAGCTACAGTACATCTGATCCTCGTAGATGAGGAAATGGTTTTATGTTGGCGATCACCCCTTACAGAGTCCTAAGGATAAGGGAGCAGCCCTTTCATGTGGCCGCCACAGGGTGTTTTGCTTTGTGAACTTAAATCGAGGTGGTTTAAATGCACTGAGTTGCTGTTGGTATTCTGGTTTGAGCTCCAGGAAGCTGAGAAATACATGAATATTTTTCTTCATCCCTTGAGAGGCCATGCTGGGGGGCTTGGAACAGCCGTTCGCGTGGGCACTTACCAGGTGGTCGCATCTCAGTTTTTACCCGCCGATTGTCCAGCTGTGAGATCATCTCAGATGTGGGGGCGAAACTTCCTCATTAGTAGAGAATGCAGGTCTCCCCTGTGGTCTTATCCTCTCTAACATCCACATCACAGACCCTAGGGTGGACCCACGGGCTGGACATCTCTGTCATCTTGCACATCTCAACGTGTGTCAAATCCAGCATGACCAAAATCTTCTCCCTGCCACCACCACCTGCTACCCCAACCTGGTCCTTCTCTAATGCTGCCAGCTCCTGAAACTCCCACCCAGGCCCACACATCATCTTGTCTTTCTATAGTACCTGCCGAGGTGTCAGTCGCCATGTGCTGTCCAGGCCGGCTCTGAGACGCCTCCTCTCATTCTTTGGTGCAGACCTCCTGCTCCTCTCCCCTGTGTACGGCCTTCTCGGGGTCACTAGTCTTGTCCTCCTATTGCATCCCTTGTCTACTTAGAACCATAGGTGGTCCCCTGCCTCGGGACGTGAGTGCCGAGGACTTCCGTAAGCAGGGCCCTTCTGTCCTCTCCAGCCTCACCTCTTCCCACATCTCGCCCAGGCGGGTTACATTCTGAGCACACAGGAACGCATCTGTGGTTCCTCCAAACCACCATGCTCCCTCCGTCCCAGGACCTTTGCACATGCTGTTACCCTCATGCTTCTTGCTATTCCTTTCCCCCACTCCCTTAACTTCCTATTCACATCCTTCAGCTGAAGGGTACTATCGTGTGGAAGACCCTTCCAGGCACCGAATTCTCTCCCC